TTTCCAGTCTCTTAGACCAGGCCACTGACAACTGATTGGTATTGGGACCAGGAGTCAGAAAACCTCCAGGAGCAACCTGAAAGTTTGGAAAGGCTCCATGTAATCAGGGGACCAGTCCATGACAAATGCTTAGAAAAGAATCATCTGGTGCAAGGAAAATGATTTCACTAGCTCCCAACACTGAGTGTAAATGGAAGAAGCTGCCAGTGCCTGGTGTAGCGCACTGAGGTGTGGGCCTCCACAGAGGCACCTGCCCTGCGCTCATCAGATCTACCCAGGAGACAGCTGTGGGCCACCCTCCACTCCTCACAGTGCTCCCTCTCGAGGAAGGCAGGGTCCTGGTCCAGCAGGGAGTAGAGGTGTTCAGGTACCACTGCTGTGCAAGGCACTGCACCTGCCTGAGGTACCTTGCCTGCCAGCAGTCCTGTCCCTGCCCCAAATGCTGTCCCTGCCTGAGGCAACACACTTGCTTGAGGCACGTACCTGCCTGAGGCACAGGCCTCTTGGGCGGCCTTTGACCATGCTGAGCTCCCACACACACACCACAGCACTGGCCCCAGAGGTGACAATCATTGTGGAGGTTGGGCATATAGCACACAGACAGCGGCCCCAGGCAGCCAGGTTCTCGAAGGTCATCAGGATCTGTAGAAAAAGGGGTATGAGAACTGGGATAAGGCTGGCAGTGGCCAGGAAGCCAGGACAGAGTGGAGACACCCCAGCAAGTCTGGGTGCCCTGGGATCCAGGGACAAGTCATGTGTTCAGGATCCAGAAGCAGGTGACCAGATCCAGGCCATTCCAAGTCTATCTCTAAGGTGGAACTTCTACTCTAGTGGTGGTGAGAGATACGTAGAGGGATGCCACAAGATCCTGTGAGCACCAGAGGCAGCGGCTCAGCATGAGGTGGTGGGGACACCTTTCAGATGGGGGCATTTCTGAAGCCAGTTTTGATGGCTGCCTCATAAAGCCAGTTGGTGAGGGTGAGCATGGAGGGTTGGGAATTTGTTGGATGTGATAGGATGGAGTGGGAGGAGAGAGGCGCTGGGGAGAAGGTGGAAACAGCTGGAAGATAAAGGATGGGTGGGAAGTCTTGCTCCTGAAAGGCTGCTGGATGTTTAGCAAGTGTCCTGCGAGTCTAAGCCATGCCTGGAATGGCAGGAGGTCCCAGACTTTCTCACTCACACTGAGTGCACATCTCGGTGGGCTCCATGTAATCAGGGGACCAGCCAAACTTTGCTTTGAAGGAGAAGGGTATGCTGCCAACGTGAAAGTTCAGCTCCTTGGAATGTGGGTTGGAGGTCTGGCTCAAGAGGGTCTTTTCAGGATTGCATGAACCCTTTCTCTCCTAGGCTGTGAGCACAACCTCAGGGGGAAGTGTGTGTGGGTGGCTGTCCCTGCCTTGGGCTCACTGATCTAGAGACATTTCAGCACTGGAAGAAGGTGGAGGTCCTGATGCTGGTTCTGTTCCCCTGTGGCCACTCACCTTGTCTGAKCCATAGTTCCCCAGACAGCAGCTGAAGTCATCAAAGCCCCAGCTAAAGGTCCTGTTCCAGAGAGGAGGCAGCAGCACCTTGTTCTTCTCCACAGCCAGGATGGTCTTCTCGGTAGGGACAATGTGGCCAATGGCCCCTTTGGGGGACTCTGATCCTAGGGAGAAAAGGTACATATCTGCCCCCCAGTTAGTATGGCAGAAACTATGTAATGAGGGAACAACACCTATTTTAGCTGGGCCCAGAAAGAAGGAGTCCCTGCAGGCCAAGCATGTGCAAGACAAGCAGCAGCTCCCTCAGGCTGCCTTAGGCCTATGATGGCCCATGTCCCTTCTCCTTGGCTCCTCTAGCTTGGGCACACACATTAAGCCAGTGGCCACATAAGGCTTCAGTGTCTCAGCAATGATGCCAGGAGAGGAGGAGGCCAGGCTGGCTGTTGGGGCAGATGACACAAAGCTGTAGGGCTTTAGGGTGACTTTGCCTATCCAGTGCTTCCTGCCTTACTCAGGGAGGGGGCCTATGATCTGGGGCATGGCCACAGTCCTTCAGTAGCTGCACTCTAGAGGCCATGCTTAAACCCAGCTGGAATACAGCTCAGAGTTCAGGGTTTGCTGAACTCTATCCCAAGCCTGGTGATCCTGGGCAAGTCAATCTATCCCTTTCTACCTCAGGGGCTCTTCTGTGGAATGAATATAATGATCCGTCTCAGCGTGGTCCATTTAGCGTGTGTGAGGGCTCACTGCTGAGAATGTACATCTTATCCACTCCATGACCAGGGCCACCCAGTTCCCTGCCCTGTGCTGGGTAAAACGGGAGACCCACCCAATTCCTGGGCCCTACAAGCTACAGAACTAGGAAACAGTTGGGCTGGGACTCACACCAGTCTGTCTTCCCCAAGGCACAAGTTCTTAGCAACCTACCAGGGTCCTTGGGATCAACTGTGGCTATAGATTGTTATGTATATAAGTGTGTGTGCATGCAAGAAAGAGAGGAGAGTATATCTGAGGCATACAGACATGCAGGTCTTCAGCAGTCAGGGTCTAATGGAGGTACTGGAAACTTCCAGGCCTCCCCAGATGTATTTGGAGATAAAGCCATTCAAAGCCAGACCCCAGTACTTGGCCAGGCCTGTGCCCTGAATCTCCAGAGGAACCCAGTCTCTGAAAGGACTACCTTGGGACAGGGTAAAGAACAAGCAGGGGTAGGTAATCACCTTTGACTGTGACTTGGGAGGGCCTCAGTGACTGTAGGCTGTAGAGAAAGGACTGCGAGTGGCTAGGCAGGCTGGCAGGCGTGGAGACATCCTTCCCAGGTGACAGCTTCCCCGTGGTGGTCCTGGCTGGGTGGGGTTTACTAAAGAGCTAGAGAGGCACATATATTGCACAGGTCATTAGGGAACAGATGTCCAGAGGAGGAGCTTTCCCTATGCACACTACAGCTGTGCCTTGATCTGGGCACTGTCAGGACTGGGCTTTCTCTTCAAGGAGCTAGAGCATAAACGGAACCCTCCTATCTGACCCTCAAATGTTGCAAGATGAAGGGCTTGGAGTTCAGAGAGGGGCAGTGACTTTCTCAAGGTCCCAGTGCTAGCCCTCCTAGCTACCAAATCTCTTCTTCCCCAAAATGCCTGGGCAAAGGCTGACCTTGTTAAGGCCCTGGTCTCCAAGAGAGCTGCCTCTCACACCCTGGAGTTAACAGGACACCCTGTCCTTCCCTTGATCACAGGGCTCCCTTTATTTGCTTGGGATTTTTCTCAGATTTTTCTTTCCTCCCTTATAAGCTCTTTGCAGCCTCATTCATCCAACTATCAACACAGAATTCTTGAATGTACCTATTCAAATATTCCAAAGAGCACAGTCAAACCTTGCTAGTGGACTTTCTTATTCACATTTTCTGCAGATCTCTGCCATCACACTGTCCCCAATGCCAAACTTTTTGGACACTTTGGAAAAAGGTTAAGTGCAAGGCTGCACTGTCTGGCCTGCTCCTTCCTGCTGGAGCAGCGTGTGCATCTACAGCCAGCTCTGGCTCTCCAGCTGCCCTCCCTGGCTGGGCTCCTGCAAGGCTGCTTTCTCCAGCCATCTGCATCCTACATTCCCAGAAGGAAACATCTGCCAGACACCACACTGGAAAGAACCAGGGTGGGAGCTGGTCCTCACTGGGCACAGAAGTGGGACAGAGGTCAAGTTTAATGGGCAGTTGGGGGTTTCAGAGAAGCATTGGCTCAGCCCTTGGTCAAATGCTAAAAAATCTAGTAAAGCTGTGTTGGTGATCAATTCAAACACAAATCAAAACAATGGCTTTTCAAGGAGCATTTTGTAGTGCACATTCTTTCTCACACAGAATGACTAATGCRTCCACAGACTTGATCTCTGTTCTCTGCAACAGCTTTAGTAGACACGGTGCCTAGACGGAAGAGTGTGTAACCTCAAGSACTTAAATCTTGTTTAAAAGACTGGGATAGCTCGGGAATTCTCATTCTAATGATTACTTAGAAGTATTTTTGGGGGAGTGGGGGTAATAGGGATTGAACTCAGGGGCCACTGAACCACATCCCCAGCTCTATTTTGTATTTTAGACACAATGTCTCACTGAGTTGCATAGTGCCTTGCTTTTGCTGAGGCTGGCATTGAATTTGTAATCCTCCTGCCTCAGTCTCCTGAGCTGCTGGGATTTACAGGTGTATGCCACCATGCCCAGCTAGAAATATTTTTAAAAGCTCATATGGATATATAGGTTAAACATTCCTATTCCAAAAATAAAAAAATCTGAAATGCTCTGAAGTTCCAAATCTTGTGAGTGCTCACATGATGCTCAAGACATTTTAGACTTTGAAGCATTTCAAATTTCAGGTTTTTGAATTAGGGATGCTCAACAGGAAAAGTTTATGCAAACATTAAAACAAACAAACAAACTAAAATCTAAAATACTTCTGCACCAAAGTATTTCAGATAAGGATATGAGTATCCTATATCACTACATAAAATAARGATATAAAATTGTATATACTTCATGATTATACTGATGGGAAAGTATCTGTGTGTATGTACAAGGCTGCAAGTACATAAAACTGGACCCAGTTGGATGGTGGTGCCTACTTGGAAGTATTTCATTGCTTTTTCTGTATTATTATATATTTTTAAAATCTTACAAACAAAACCGCTAGGCCACTGAGTTTCCTAAAATCCTCCCCTTTCCAAAAAACTGCAAACATTGTATGTGCCATCTAATCTCCAAGTCACCTCATGCCCCTGTCATGTCCCCCATACCTGGGAGCTGAGCAAATACATATAAGCCATAAAGGGACAGGTGGAAAAGATATTGTTAGTTTTGCACAAGCTGCAAGAGGAGCTCAGCCAGCCCTCGTGGTTCATGCAGGGAAGGCTATTGAGCAGGATGTCCTGAATTGGCTGGGTTTGGGCACTCATTTCCCAGGATAGTTGCTGACTATCCAGGTGATGCCCCCAGCCTGTGGGGCCAGGGCTCTGACCAGAGATGAAACAAAACATCACACAGAACCAGTTTGTGGATCAATAGGGATGAGGTCAGTTAAATAAGCACTTTTCTTGCCTGTGTTTCATAAATAGGTCAATGTAAATAAACGACCTCATGTTGCTGAGCAGATGTCCCAGTGAGAGATGGAGCCAACAGAGCCAAAGGCCCAGGTGAGAACCCTGAAGTTCACCAGGCCCCAGCAGGTGGAAGGTAGATGTTTTAAGACAGTGGCAATATCACCCATGCTTTGCACCTACCTACCCACATGATGTATCTACTCAGGGCTTTACCTCTATTTCTCAGTAATGGTACAATCCAATACAAGTGAGTTATTTATTCTCTCTGAGCCTCAGTTTCCTGATCCATAATAAAACACTTTCTATATACAGAGCTTATGAGAGGATACAATGATATAATCACACAATTAACAGTTGTTGAGTGCTGGTCACATTTCATACACTTTCATGTGCTTGATGTCTTAACTCATCAGAAATAATTATCCTGAAGGGTAGATATTGRTAAAAAGAAAGAAGTATAATGAATCAATCATAGTGTCTGTCACTAGCATCACAGAAGGATGTAGCCTTCACCCATTATCATTAACAATGTCATCATCTTCATCTACATCAGAAGGAAACCGAGGGGTAAGCCCTGATATTGAATGCACAGAAAGATGACTAGGGACCATTTTTTCCCTCCAGTCCTCTCCCTTGCTCCTACCACAGGAGAGAATGTGCTCACTCTCTCTCCCAAGCCCACATGGTGCATACTCTTTTGAGAAAGCAAAACAAATGCATAATCTGYAGTACCTGTTTGGGAACCTGTCCAAAGTTGCTGACAAAGCCCAGGATGGTGCTCTTGATCAGAGGGTCACTGATGCTGCTGAGGTCCACTCTGTCTCCATAGAAGTAGGGGTGGAAGGTATTAATTGCCTCCACTGCAGCTGGTCCCTGCTGCTTGTATCCAAAAATGAGATCTATCCAATGATGGAGGTTGGCACTGACAAAGTCGCTTTCCAGAGCCTGGAATCAAAACCCAGAAAATGTGAAAACCCAGCCCGCTCATGGACTCATGCACCCTCTGCACAAATGGGAAGATACACGTGCTTCAGGATGCTTATTCTGCACAGGAGAGATGACTGGTGTCTCCCAGCCTTAATGAGTAGGGAGCAGGCAGATGAGCCAACCACCCCAGGGAAGCTKGTTCCTGCTTCCAGTTCATGGCAAATCAGATCTGACTGTTTCTGTCACTCAGATCATCCACTTCAGATGACAACCATGCCATTCAGAACATCTATGTGGTATAGGTCTGCAAGTGACATCTACTTGGAAGAGACCAGGTAGGATGATGTTCTGAGGTCCTGCTGAGATCTAAATACAGAAAGTTGATTCTGAGGAGGGATCATCAAGAGGTTGAGACCAAGTGTAGTGATTTAGAGAACATGCTCTCGAGTGGACTGAAGTGAGCATTGCCACTCACACATTTGTGAACATCTCTGTTCCTCAGTTTCTTCATCTGTAGGATGGACAGTAATTGTACTTTCTTCCAAGGTTAGTGTGAGGATTAAATTTTCTCTGTGTTTGGAGCAAAGTGAGCTCCATGTGGTGAGGTGATTACACTGAGCACCTGCGAGGTGTCAGGCAATGGCTTGGATTTATCTGTGTAGTCTCTTCCCATTAAGAGACCACCTCTTGCTGGTAGGGATAATTTCAGCAGTTCATGGGCATGGTAATGTGTATGTGTATGTGTGTATGTGTGTGTGTGTGTGTGTGGTATTAGGGATTAGATCCAGGGGCACTTTACCACTAATCTATATCTGCAGTCTTTTATCAAATTTTATTTTGAAATAGGGACTCACTAAATTTCAGAGGTCTCACTAAATTGTTGAGGCTGGCTTTGAATATGCATTCCTCTTATCTTAGCCTCCTGAGTCACTTGGATTATAGGCAAATGCTACTGCACCCAGCCCATGTATATAGTTTTTTATTTTGCCATCCATCTTCAACTTTCATGCCTCAGACCCACTCCCCTCCAGGGGATATTCAGCTTCACTGAGAAGATCTCACTTCATATAAATACTGAGAAGTCATTGACATCTGGTTGAGGGGACCTTACTAAATCATCCCTGAGAGGGAAATAATAGAATCTACCCTTTTGGTGCAGGTAGGCCCCCAAGAATGCAAGTTTTCTTCATGGGGCATTTCTGTCCAGGCTTGGGCATGAAGGTGACAAAGATTGTCCTACTTATGTACCCAAGGGGCAAGTGTGACGACCTGAGGACCATCCTGTCCATATGCAGCCTCACTGTCCCCATCTGGGAGGACAGGAGATGTTTCAGACTCAGCCATGGAGTTTAAAGCCTCTAAGTGAGAGCTAAACCTCATCCTGCTCAGGGACACAGCTCCCACTGGAAGCCAGCAACACCTAACTGTAACTAAGTAATGTTTAACAGTCCAAGTACTTCAGCACAGCAGCCAAGCATACTGGGTCCTTCACGGGTGCAGCCTGGATGGATGGTACTAGCTCAGATTAGGAAACCCAGGTTGGTAATATTTCTTAGAAGTTGCTACCTATAAGCAAGAGGATATGTGCCCAGCATTTGGATGTCCCAGTCCACTGGAGAGTTGACAGCTTTCTGCTGAGTGCAGTCCTTTGGGGCTGCAGCCCTGGAACTCAAAGATTTTCATCTCATTTCCTTGGTCCTCTTGGGAGCACATGCATCCCTCCACCTGGGCCTAGGGAAGCTGGGGCACTTGTACCAGATTAATTTCTCTGAGGTATTTGGTCAAGTGGCTTTGAAGCCCAGAAGCTCACACTTGAGTGATGCCATATGATCCTTGATGAAAGGCATRGTACTCCTAGACCTGGAGCCCACCTCGGGGCCTTCTGTCAATGTTTGCACTAAAGCACTTGCTGGGACTGCAACAGAATGACTGTGTACCTGAGGGAATGGCACCAGCCTTGGCCCTTTTCCTGCCACTGCATAACCAACACATTTTCATATCCTCAAGCTCTTCCAGACCATTCCTCCACTTCCTTTCCTTAACCCATCAGGCTTTCTCTTAACCCATCAGGTCCCCATCAGTAAGCCAGAGTGGTGGACACTTGCTAAACACATCCCATAAGTTTGGAGCCAGGAGTTGGGGCTGGTGTTTTCCTCAGTCCCCATAGCCATGTCAAGACCCTGTTCCTCTGCCTTCCTGTTAAAAAGGAAAGAAAGAAATCTGTCCTCTGTGCTTTCTGAGATTCATTTCTACCCCCTCCTCAGCCTCACTGCTGCCATCTACCCACTTGTTTGCTCTTCTCATTCACTGAAAATGTCACTCCTGGCTATACCATCGCTTCTTCTCCAAGATCTATCGTCACCCTCAGGGACTGCAATCTCTGGCCTCTCTGGCCTCTCTGACCCTTAAGCTCTCCCCTCCAGTGATTTTTGCTTCTACTCCACCCAAAGTCACGCAGTCATGACGCTCCTTGTTATAGTTCAACCCATAGGTTCAGTTGTTAAAAGCTTGGCCCTGGACTGGCACTATAGAGAAGTGGCTGAACCTTTAGAAGATAGGGCCTAGAGGAAGGAAGCTAGATCATGGGGAGTGTGTCCCTGAAGGAGATATTGGAACCCAAGCCCCATTTTTTTTCTTTCCCTTTTTATCATTTCTCTATTTAGAATGATGTTGGCCTTGACTTTGATGTATATATCTTATACAATGTTGATGTATGTTCCTTCTATCCCTAGGTTTTTGTTATTGTTGTTTGGTGTTTTTAGCATTCATGGAGGTTGTATTCTTTAAAATGTTTTTTTAAAATTTATTCAGATAATCTTGTGTTTCTTTTCTTTAGTCTATTTATTTGATGAATTACATTTATTAATTTCTGTGTGTTGAATCAACTATACATTCCTAGGGAAAAATGCACTTGATCATGAATTTGAAAACAATCAAAACAACCACAGAACACTTATCAAAACATATAGATAAGCAGATTTGATCCATCATTCTCTTCCCACCCTGATATTTTGCCTCATCACAGGGCCCAAAACAAGAGAGGCCAACCAATCATGGACTGAAACCTCTGAAACTGTGAGGCAAAATAAGTCCTTCCTCCTTTTAAGTTGATGACCTCAGGCATTTGTCATAGCAAWGGAAACCTGTTTAACACAGCCCTTAACCCATGTCACTATCCATAACTGCTCCATCTTCAAAGCACCCATTCCAACCTTCCCACTAGTGGAAGCCACGTCTTCGCCTTGCTGGTCATTATTAACTACTTCCTAAGGCCATTCTCCCCTTATCAAACCCCTATTCCTCTTGAGCCTTCACTTCTTACAGTTAGTCGTCCCTCTTCTGTCATCAGCTATATCTTAATCCAGCTTTGATTTTCTAGGTAATAGGTCAAGCCCTCCCCAGWCCTGGAAGATTTTTTTGGTCAGAGGGAGCTCCTTGGACTCTCCAAACTTTCTCTTAGGTGTACTGGGCAGCATGACCCAGGGAGTAGCCCTGCTTTTAGGGTGGGCTAAAGTCACTGACATCTTCCTGGACATGCAAACTCTCTCCTGTAGTGATGTCCTCAAAAAACAGGCATAAGGGCAAAGCCCAATGGGGCTCTCAGAACAGCCCAGAAACCAGGCCACCTCCTGACTCCCCAGGATATAGACCTGACCCATTCTGTAACACAAAGGCTCAGGGCTTGTTCCCTCTTCTGGGACAGGAGGCTTCTATGAAGGTTGGGGGGATGCTGAGGAACAYATCAGAAAACCAGAGGCTTTGGTGTAGCTCACCTGTCTGTGCAGGCTGATGAATTTCCGAGGGTCCCCATCTGCCCAGGGAGGAAGTTGCACGTCCCCCAGTGTTGTCCCGTCCTGCATGCAGCCTGAGTGGGATGCAAAACAATAGGGGTTGGGATAAACAGGAGCCCTCTCTGGGCTCAGACCTAGAATTGCCTTGATGTGTTGACTGGAGTGTGAGCTTTGTCCTATGCAGCCCACACTGCTACCAGCAGCCTCTCCCTGGAATGTCCCCAGTCCTCATGTGCTTGGTCTCTCCATCTTCTTCTCCTCCACAAGGTCCTCCTTATTCCCTAGGCAGCACTAGTGCTGGACTCCCAAGTCATATAGAATGATCTCAGTGTCACCATTGTTGGTTGAGCTTCCTCCCCACTACACTAGGCCTTTTCATCTGGGTGTTTGAATAAYAGGGAGAACTTATTTACCCAGCTTAAGTAAAACCAATACAAGTTGGCATATTGTACACACCCAAGTCCAGGCCAGGCACCATGGGAGGCTTTGGGAACACATTTTCTTACTGAACCTTCACTCTAACTTGATAATTCATGCATTTTTCCCTCCATTTTTAAATGGAGAACACAAGGTTTTCGGAGATTCCACAGAGAATAAGAAGAGCCTAGCTTCCATCTCAAGTCTCCCCTACCCATTAGCTGTACAACCTTGAGCAAGTTGCTTAATATCTTAGGATTCAGTTTTCCCACCTGTTAAACTGAAGGTGATGACWGGAGTTATCTCACAGAGCTGGCATGAGGATCATAAGAGAAATAAACATAATAGTACTTAGAACAATACCAGACCTGTGACGGAGGTTCAATAGATGTTAACTGTGATCTTGCTGGAACTCTCCAGAGCCTTCATGGCACAACTAGAATAATTGTTTTGGTATTTCAAGTTTGCAGGGCTGTGCCTGGCCTGGCCCTTCTCATCAGTCAGTCTTAGCCCACTTGTCTCCTCCTTAGGCAGGTCCTTCCTTGGTCACTTGCTCTAAGTGGCCCTCTGAGTCACTTTCTCTGCCCTGGTTCTGACCACACATACCCTCAGCAAGTTGTCCCAACTTGGCACCATATACATTTGCAGTGGAGGCTCCCAAGTTATATGCAATCTCCAAGGGACCTACTCCTGAATTTTTTTGTTCCTCCTCTAAAGTAGAAAGAAGGTCTAGCTCATTCTGGGCTGCAGGAACAAAGAAGAGCTGTAACTCAGAAGTCTGCCCATTTGCGAGACTGGCAGAAATGGAGCTGATGAAGAGCAGGCACTTGTTCAAGGTCACAGTGCAGCAGGACAGTGCTAGATTGAGGCTACTAGCAAGAGCTCCTGCTCTCTGGCTGCTGCCTTGCTGCCAATTAGAGCCTGGAGCTCTCTGAGAAAAGGTCATGGCTGGGCAGGGTCCCAGCAAACCAGGGGCCCAGTGTCCTTTCTCAGCAACCTCCTTTGTACATGGATGCTGTCATCCAGCAGAGGTCTCATATCCCTTGCATTGGTCTTAGTGAGGGGCCTGTTTGTTGAGGTGAGTTAAAAATATTCATATGAAATTAGTTGCCATCCAGGAGCTGCAGGAAAGAGACTATATTCCCCAGCACCTCTGTTCCCACCCCAACTAGTCCTCACTCAGATACCCAGGCCTTGCCCAGACCTCTACTCACCAAACTCCACTGCATTGCAGTTGGTTAAGAACTCAGGAAGATAGAAGAACTCTGGAGTCAGCTCCCTGACGTCACTCATGTTCTCCCTGGAGGCAGACTCCCATGCACTCTTCACGCTGTGGAACATTCTATCTGCCACATCAAAGCTTCCACCCTGCATGAAAAGGAGCCAACATGATCAACCACATGTGCTTGAGTCCTCAGGCTGGCCACACCCTGCACGCACAGGCCTCCTTCCATCCATGCTGCCTCAGGGGCACAGTTTCCACCACTGGGACTTTTCACTCATTCTACCCACACAGGCACATGCATCAGCCCATGCCTTTGTGCCATGGTTTCTTCACACATCTGTCCATTCAGTCACTCTCTGGAACCTTATGTCTTCGAAGGAGGACCCACAATCCACGGGGTTTAAGGGATCCTGCTTTACCAGCAATTGAACTTCAGATCAGAGATTAGAGATCAGAAAATCATGGTCAACTCTCTGACCATTCCTCAAGGTTGCTGAGGGCCACTCTGAATCAAGCATCTAACTTGAGGAAGTAGAGATAAGAATGACTTTCACTCTGCTCTTGAGAGGCCCACACTGGAGTACCACAGGCAGGAAATAGAGAGTCAACTACGGGACAAAGAGGTGGGTCAGCTATTCTGCATGGTAGGTCAGCAGAGGTTTTTTGGAGAATCTCAGCCAGAGGTGATTCTGGAAGCCTGGTGATGGGGAAACCAGCTTAGTTCTATGCAGAGGTCAAGGCCTTGATAAGAAACAGAGATGGGAGGAGGACTTGATAGGTCAGGGCTCTGGTGACATCTAATACCATGCACAAGGCATTCTGGGATGGGGTGTGAATGTAGGAGGGGACCTTGCTCAGTGGACTAGGCCTTGACAAGAAACAATTGGCTTGAAGAAGTAGAGCTGGAGCTGTCAGAGGATGGGAGGCTGGCATATGAGGACAGAATGTCTGCACAGCTGCCAAGGCCAGCCTGTGTTCCAAGGCTCATGGCAGGTGCCCTTTTGCAGCCTGAGTTTGGCAACTAGGGATGAACCTGGTTAAGATTTGAGGCACAATTCTTTCTTTGGATGCTCTAGATCTCTTACCTGACTTGTCAAATTTCTTCATTTCAATTGTCAAACTGACCACCCTATCCATCAGATGGTCTTAGGGGTCAGAAAAAGGCAGAGAACAGTCTTAGACCAGGTCCTGGTTGGAAAGATGAAGAAGCTGGGGATAGAGAGACTTCAGGAAAGAGTTTCTGAAACTGAGCCTTGGGTCTACTTAAGTGTAGACATATCCAACAATATCTACCTCCCTGAAATTCTGTAGTTCACTTGTCTTTAAGACTAGGCCTTTTTTGAAAAAAAAATTGTTTTCCTTTTTCCAAGTTTTGCAGGACACACATGAGATCATAAGAGTAAAGAATAGAGCACTGTCTCTGTCATCTCCCTTCACTTTAGAGAGGGCTAAAGATTTCCATCAGCATTTACCTAAGGCAGCTTTGGGTAGCTGCAACCATGAATGAAGGGTAAGAAAGGAGAAAGGCATGTCTGTTCTGTTAGATACTCTGTGAACATATACATGATTTCTCTTAATCCTCATAGCAGGTACATTGGAAAGGAATTGCTATTTCCATTTTGAAGACGTGGGAAACTGATGCTTCTCAAAGCATACTGATTTTCTCCTAAGGCCTTCAAAGCAGTAAATAGAAGAGTTGGGGTCAAACCCATAGATGCAACTTCAAATGGCATGCTTTGCCTCATGTCATTTTTTTTTAAGTAAGTTCCTAATTCTGTCACAAACTTGAACTACTACCTATGGGCCAAAGTGAGACTTAGCTCTTTCTGTAAGGGAAGAACCTGGTACACACCCAAAGAAGGCCTTATGTGGGCACCCTGGTGAACATGGACTGGCTGGTCAGTTTTCCCAGATAGACTTGTGGATTCAGAGGAATCCATGGGTCTTTTTTTGCACATAGGCAGGAATCGCAAGATATCCAGTTACCCAAGGGGTCTCAACCAAACACAATAGTAGCTGGACAGCTTAAAGATGTAGTTTTTCCCTGTGGTCACTTTGGTCTTGGTTGAAATTAGAGGCTGGCATCCACCATCAAATTTAAATTGAAATGGAAATGAAATGGGAGGAATCTAAGTAAATCTGCACCTAACGAGTCACTCATTGAAATGCATTAGGAGCTCTGTGTATTTAATCTGCAGCCTGAGCCTTACATCTGTGGGAGATTGATGCCTTCTCCTCAGCCCATTTTTCCTTTTGCAGCTTTTATGAGCACTGATGGTAATCTCCTGAGAAACAATATGATTTGGTAATAAAAAGATTACCTGTATTAAATAAAAATAATATATACATAGGAAATATTGTTAGTGCTACAAATCTGGTTAAAGATATTACCACAAAGAAAAATGTTATTTTTTTCACAGCTGTCTAATGCATTTTAGCAAAAGTAATATCTTTAAAACTTAAGCCTGTATTATTTATAAAGGAAGCAATAACTGATTTTCCTATTTCCTATATTAATAAATGTATTTGCATACATTTGTTTCAAAATTAATGGGTTTTCTCACTTCTGCAATACAAAAGAAAACACCAAATTCCCTAGAAGAAAAAGTAGAGTTGCTTTGTTACTTGTATTGTAAGTCTGTGGGTTGACATAAACTCTGGTAGTTACTGGAAGTAAGTCCCAGCTAGGATGTGATTCTCAAGGAAGGAAGGGAGGAGAAAAGCTGAAGAAAATAGAAAGGAGAAAGGGCAAGAAGAGGAGATGCAGAGAGACACACAATTCAAGTTTACAAAGTTCCTACAAAGGGAAAGTCCAAAACCAAATTAAATAAAACAACAGAATTAAGTCTAGAGATCAGAAGGAAACAAAATGATCAGAAAGAATTCCTGAACCAAAATCTGCTCCTGCATCTATTCTACAGGCATTCTGGAACGTCAAGAATAATGACTCCTGAAGGTATCCAAACAAGCTAAAAATAAAATTTAAAAAACCCAGCAAGGTCATGACTGTCAACAAAGGAGCAACTTCTTATTGGCAGAATATTTTCACATGTGACATTTGATCCAATGCAGCCAGGTCAAGGCCAGAGAGCTCTGAGTCAAAAAGTTATGGTCTTTGGCATCTAGCCAAGTCATCACTCACCTGTCAAGATACCAGAAATATTTTTGAACATTTTAGGGCTCAGAAATAATATAATCCTAGGCAACTTTTGTCAACAAAATACTTTAAGAGGTGCTCAATCTTAAGAGTAAAATACTGGGGAAAAGAAGCAGCTGATACCAAGGATGATGCTGAATGTTGATGTGGGTTCAGATTTTTTAAAAAGTCCATGATCTTGGTGCACTGGTTATAACTACATGGTATAACTGGATATACTCCAAAGCAGAATACTTAAAGTTAAAGGCAAAACGTCTTTCCTGTCAATTGACAGTGCCAACGTGCCTGGGCAGGCACTTCAATTGCTACATCCTTAGACCCCTCTCCACTTGTGTAGGGAAAGTATGTTAGGGAAACCACACTTAATTTTTTGACCCACATTCATAGGAATCAGAAACCGCATGTGCTCAAGGACCCTTGAATGCACAGATATTTTAATGATTATACTAGATAATCCAGTCTTCCTTCCAGGTAGGAATGACTCAAATCAACCCATTCTCATCTAGATAATGGACTGGCTGTATGAGCAGGTTGAAAACCTATTCTCACTGTATATATTCCTAGTAATTTAAAAATATTCCATGCAAACAATTCATTTACAAGATATCAGTTGATCTAAGCTACTGTTTGTGCAGCATGCTACACATAGAATGCTTTGGCTCTGGAACTCAGCAGATGATGTGGAATTTCAATGCCCTCTTATTTGCAGAATGAACATGAATTAGTTCCTTAATCTCTTTAATTGCCTATTTCCTCCTCTGCAAACCTTAGATTATTGTTGTATATGTAAAAGCAATAATGTGTGTATGTGCACAAGCATGTGTGTAAATATGAGTGTGCATGTACGTGTGTGTACATCTGAATGTGTGTATGTGTGTTTGTGTATGTGTGTGTGTGTGTGTGTGTGTGTACATTATGTGGGACTCTAGGCACAAAGAAAGGGTTGTCAAATGAATCAAGCCCGGGCTGGAGATGTGGCTCAAGCGGTAGCGCGCTTGCCTGGCATGCGTGCGGCCCGGGTTCGATCCTCAGCACCACACACCAACAAAGATGTTGTGTCCGCCAAGAACTAGAAAATAAATATTAAAAATTCTCTCTCTCTCTCTCTCCTCTCACTCTCTCTTTAAAAAAAAAATGAATCAAGCCCTACATCCTTTTCCCTGTATAGACTAGGAACTGCGGAGCAATCTCAGGTTTGGGCCCCAATCTCAGTGAGAGTGGGAAAGGCAACCAGAGACTCTTAAGAAGAAGAAAAATAAAAAGGAGATCAATATTGAGCATGAGGGGAAGGGAGAGAGGCATGGTTTCTCTTGCCAAGGACAAGGCAGGAGGGTAGGAAAGGCTAAAGGGCCTTAGGATGGAAGTGGCAAATAAAGAAGGCATTGTCAGGACCATTCTGAGGCACCAGCACCACCAATGAAGACAGGGGCAATGTGAGAGGACAAGACAGACCAGAACATGCCATTCCATGGATTTTTGTTTGAAATTCCAGGCCCTAACATCCTACTGGCAAGCTAAAAGCCATAGGTCCCAAATGATGTTTGTGAAGTGCTGGCACTTATCCAGCTGCTTAATCAATCTTGCTCTTGATTGAGGATGGGCTGATTCCAGAGTGGCCATTGGTTCTCCTTCTGGTAGGACATAGCTCTTTCCTGAACAAGTAGAACCCACAAAGTCAAGTGGAAACATCACTGCCAACTGTGACCAGGAGAGCAGGTGTATATGGAGCACTCAGAAGCAACCAGATGTCTCGCCCTCACCTCCCACTCAGTGAGGGGTGATTTAAAGGATGAGGACACTGAGGCTCAGTTATGTTATGCCACCTGTAGGAAAGTTCTAGAGCTGGGAGTTTATTCCAGTTCTGTCAGATTCTATCACACATTCTTCACTGAGTTTGTGTGATCATAATTACACCTTGTTAAAGGACTCCTGTCAAGTCACTGTTTGGGTTCCTTTGGATCCCAAGACCTGGCATTGCCTCCGAGC